TTACAATAACGGCAAAACGTTCCGTCAGCAGAATTTGCTCGTTGATTAGAATTTGAACGGCAGTTTTTAGCTGTATGGCCCAAGTTATTACAAATTTGGCAGATAATTCTGGTTTGATTATTAAGATTTGCTTGCTCATTTTGTTTTTCCAACAATTATTGGCAGAATGGCTCGATCCGGTCGCTACCACTGGCAAATTATGGAGATCTTATTGTTAAAATTACTTGTTTGGTTATTAGAATTATTTAAGCGGCAATTTTTTGCATTATGACCCGGTTTAAAACATAATTGACATTTTATGGTATTTTCTTGCACCATATTTATCGATCGTTGAGCTTGGGGATCACGTAATCGACACTTTTCTGCACTATGTCCGCGTTTTTTACAAATCTGGCAAATTAGAATTTCAGTGCCTAAATTATTTTGTTTAAAAGAGTCTGCCATTTGCATAAGTTTTCTACAATTAGCTGCTGAGTGGCCAATTTTAAAGCAAATTTGACAAATTCCGGTGGAACAATTTTCCTGTACATTATTTCGGTCGGAGTTAGCAGGTCTATGTCGTAAATCTGTAATAGCACGAAGCTCTCTTTCTATGCGTAGGGCATCTGTTACAGTTGCCTGTACGTCTAAGTTTCGAGCGATCCTCTGCTCAATTTCGGGTTTTAGGCCTCGGATGAAACATTTACACATATCTTTTTCTAAGGATGCTCGCACGTCGTGATCTGTTAACGCGTGTTCCGAACGCGTGTACGATAAGCTTCTCGTATCTGTTTTCCTAAGAGTTTTACACAATTAGCATAAGTGACGACGTCCTCGTCATTCTTTTGATATACGCTTCCTAACTCTCCCTGTAGCTGATACACATTTTTAGATCCGCCGTAAATTTGTTTTAGATATTTAGTTAATTGCGCTACTGTTTCGAAATCTTCATCTCTAATTGTTCGTCGCGCCTCGCCGACTATTCGCGTTCGTAAAATTTTAGTAAATTGAGACTCTGCTTCATAGGGCAGCATTGACTTTGCCTCTTCGCATCCTTCGATAAAATAATTTAGTGGGATATTTTTTCCGTCGAAAAATGGAACGGCTTCGACCGCGTATTTTAGGATAGCGAACGGATTACTTTGCGCCATATTTCTCACCTTTTTACTGTCACTTGGACTTAGTTTAAAGTTTAAATGTTCGCTTTTACCACACGATCTAATAGTCTCGTCACCAGAATCGTCGGAATTGTACTCGGGAGCACTAGGTTCCACTAAAAATGCTTCAATTTCGGGTTCGTTAGCGTTGAATTTAATTTGTTTAGGGACGCGAGCGAAGGAGGCTGCTGGAGTGGATGTGTAAAGTGTATCTAATGTGTCTGATTTAGTTTTCTTTTTGCTTTTTATTGCGGCATTAAGTTGTTCTTCTATTTTATCTTTATCGGAGTTAGACCTCGTTGTCATTCCTACCTCTCAAAAATTGCACTTTTTATCCCGGACGAGCCCCCAATTTTTATTCTTTCTATTAAGTCTGTTACGTCCTGATAGATGTAGAATTTTTTCGTTGGGCTCGGCGATCGACGTAAACGGGCCTGACCGCACGAGCCGAGCGGCAAGTTTAGGACTTGCGACGGGTCAGCGACTGGAAGAGTCGTTTTTACTCCGTCAACGAGTCAACCGCTCGTGGTTCCCTTTTTGGGTCAAGGAATTGAATCCCTATTACCCGGGACGGAACCTTTGTGCGCAATTTGAGAGAGAAGGTGTGAGGGGGTGACGAACGAGGAGGGTGTGGTTAAATGAAAAAGAACAAAAGTTTAATTTACTAAAGACAACATTTTAATTTGATTGAATTTATAATTAGGATACAAAAACTTAATTCTTGATCGCATGTGTTAATAATTTTATTTGTGTATTCTTTACAATAGTGTGTGTGTGTGTGTGTGAGTGTTTTATTTTTCCGGAGGGAGGACAGAAGAAATAATAAAATAAAGAGGAATGAACTGACTTACTCGTTGCAGGATAGTTTTGGATTGGGTTGAATATGTTCGGTGGTTCTGAGCAGGCACCCCGTTGAGGGATGGTGTGTAGGCGTCGGACCCTTTTGTAAACGTGTGGGCACCCTGCTGCGGGATGGTGTCGTCAGGGTGATGGACCCTCTACTTGAGATGCACCACTTGGTTGCGACAAAGTATCGACTTGTTTAATTCGCGACCCGAACTACTCGAAAAACTGTCTGAAGGACTTGGCAAACTTGCTTGATGAACTGAGTGACTAATTGTGTATAATTGACGTTGGAGCCACCAAAACACGGGTTTTTATACCTTTTCCTTGGGGTGGATCCATTTGGAAAATCTTAGGTTTTTGAAGCGGGGATCGAATAGGAATTAGTCTTGTGAGAAGATTTTTAATGTGGGGGAGGGTGGCGTCATTTTTAGCTAATAGGATTAGGTTTAGGTAATTAAGTTACTTGGAATGGGGGAAAGAAGAAAGGGGCCTTAACGAATAAGGAATAGCGTCGTTTCGGGTCCATAAGCGATGGGGGTAGGTTTTTGAGGTGGCGTAACCCGGTTGGTGTTAATTAGTATAGGTGGGGTGCATCTCAGTGTCTTAAGATCTAGGTGGGCGTAGTCTTTAGACCGTACGACGGAACGAAGGGTGGTCTATAGAGGTGCTTGCCCCGATTCCCGGCTTTCGGATTGGAGGGTTGAGAATCGGTATATGAGTTCGCTAGACCTTGGGTCACTGATCTAATAAATTTGACAGTTTACGACTGTCGCGTGGCCCTGGAGTTGCGTGGAGAGTGCGATTAATGCATCTCGGTTTCCCAGACCTACTGAACACGTGCACCGTATCAGGTGTCATGCCTTCTAGGCGTGCGACTGTGGTCATTGCCCGATTGTCACTCGGTAAAACCCTATCTACTAGGGTTCCCGTAGGCGGAATCCAAATATATGGCTAGCTGGTGCCAGTTTTTATTTCTTACTTTAAACATCTGGAGTCGACTAAAGACTCCGGTTACCGCGACTTTTGACTTTTATGATTTTTCTGACGACGTGGGGCACGCTGACCGACCAAGGTATTTTCAAATATCTATCCCCCTTGCTATTTTTCTCTGTGAGAAAGTTCGAGCTCATGGTGTCTCGTGAGAAAAACAGCTCTGGTGTTGTAATATTCTTTAAGAGTTTTTTGTTGGTCCCGTGTTTACTAGGTCTGGTATTTAATAAAAAGAAAAGAATCGTGAAGTCTGATCAGGACGTAACAGACAAATAAAATTGGTTTTTTGCCTGTAGCCATGGATACTAATGAAATTATAATGGTAATAACAAAATATCCTCTTTTTGAGGTTTTGTGACTCGCGTTTGTTCTTTAGGCAACATAAAAGTAATAATTTCGCGAGTCAATAATAAACGTAAAATCATTATAACTTAATTTAGCGTTTTGTCAATCAAGACGCTTGTCGCATGTCTTAATTCGAGAGGAACTTATTTTTCTTATTAATTATTTTGATTAATTATTTAGTTTTAATGAAACGCATAATATTGTTATATTTATACTTATCGACTAATAATGAATGTAAATTGAACGCTTATCTTAGTTTCTACGCCTTATTTAGATTTACGAGGCGTAGCTTTAATATATTGAAACTGGCTTTTGGTTAAATTAACATAATTGACTTTTTGTTTTTACGAATACACACAGAATGTAAAAATAAACGAATTTTGAGTATTTGTAATTCACGCCAAATTACTTGCAGGCTTCGCGAGGTAGTCTGTTTTCCGGATGTCTCCGATGTTTGGTTCCCTCGTCTTTACGGTGTCTAGGCTCCGCTCTGGTTGCCCTTGGTCCCGCTGGTTCTTTCCGGCTCGTGACCGACTGTCGGTCGCAAGGTCTAGTTGAATTAGTCGTATTAGAATCATTGCCGCCACGAATAAAATTGTTCTATATCCACAACATAACCTAAGGGAGATTTTTTTTTGTAATCTGGATATATCCCTTTTAATCCTGTTATTGCCGGTTATGTCCATTGCCCATACCAGGGCTCCATATAATAAAACGGAATGCATTGCATTAGAATACAATCTTCTTACCCGCTCTCTCGGACCTTTTAAATTTAGCATAATACCAGATAGAGCAGTAAACATTCGTTCCGCTTTGGGAATAGCGCTTGTGAAATGTGGCGCAAATGTCCAATCCCATCTAGTATGACACCTAAATAGCGGATGATGTTTTTCACCTTTATCAGTTTGCCCTTTACTAGTATGGAGACTGTGTGGCTTTTGACAGCACTAGCTGGAAAGGCCATTGCCTCAGTTTTTGCAGGAGCAACTCTTAAACCTAGTTTTTCTATTTCTAGAACCAGTAAGGCCACCGCAAGTTCCGCTCTACACGCCGCCTCCCTGATGGAGTACCCAGAGGTCAGTAAAACCGTATGATCCGCGTAACAGAGTACCATACTGTTTTTTAGTAGGGCTGCAGATTCCAGCACTCCGTCGTACCCTATATTCCATAGGGTAGGACGCAGAGCTGACCCTTGAGGGACTCCTCGAGTGACTTTTCCTGGTGATTTTACCATGTCGGTTTACATACACCAACCATCTGTCGCTCAAGTAATCTCTAATTATTTCCAACAGATATTCGGGAAATTGCTTTCTTCTCATGGCTCGGAGAATGGTGCTCCATTGCAGGGAGTTGAACGCGTTGGCAATATCCAACCCCACTGCCAACACCACTCGTCCTTGCTCTTGGACGCACGATCGTAGACGAAGGATGGCATTAATCGTGGATCTACCTTCCCTAAATCCATATTGTTCGTCGGAAAGTCCACAGGTATCCTGCAGGTAAGTATTAATGCAACCAACTATTAATCTTTCCAACAGTTTTCCAGCTTCGTTTAAGGCAAATAGGACGAAAGCAGGCCGGGTCGTCCATCTGACCCTCCTTTTTCCGGAGAAGGACAAGGTTCGCCACCTTCCAGTTTTTCAGAAATTTACCTTCTTTCAGGCACGAGTTGCAGCATCTTGTCTAGGCAGAGAGCAAGTGTTCGGACGTACCAACTATCACTGATCCAAGCACTCCTCCTGGGCCTGGGGCTTTATTTCCCTGTATTTTTTTCAGGGCTGATTTCACCCCTAATTCTTGGACGTTCCAGTCTGCCTGCCAAACAATTTGTTCTCTATGAGGTTCTCGGCATCTATCACCCGGCGGGAAGAGTACATTGAGTACCTTCTCCACAGTGTTTGGCGGAAGTGCAGCGACTATCGGCATGGTCTGGGGTTTTATCTTTCTTGTTACTATTTGGAAAGGTCGTCCCCAGGGATCTTGGTCAATCGTCTCCAAAAGTTTTCTCCATGCATTGTTCTTGATCTTCTTTATAGCTAATCGCAGGTTTCTTTGTGCTTCTGTGTGTTGTCGTTCTGCATAGATTCTTATGTCATCTGATCCTCTTTTTCTTATTCTCGTGAGTAGTCTTCTTGTTTTTATGCATTTTTCTCGTAGTGTAGCTACTTCTTTACACCACCAGTATGTGTTATTCTGCCTGTTCTTTCTAATTCTCGGCATTGCTACATCAGAAACCTCACACAATGTATTGTCTAGCCAGGAAGCCTGTTCCACTGCACCCTTCTCCAGATGCTCTCTGTCAATCCATGTTTTGGCTATGATCGCGGCCATTAAACGATCATTGTTCAGTTTTTTGCCATTCCATTTGGGAAAACGGAGTCTGGATTCCCTTAATCTATTTTTCACCCGATCGAGGGTGGATCCTAGAGTTATTTTAATATATAGATGATCTGAGGCGGTAGGAGTTTCCAGGTCTACATAGCAATTTTTTATCTTACTGAGCATAGCTGGGTTTGCGCATGCAAGGTCTACAGTTGATCGGCCTTGTGATCTCACACATGTGGACGTAGTGTCCTTGTTAACCAAAATGAGACCTCTACCAGCAGCCCAGTTTACTAGTATTTTGCCTTTAGTTGAGCTCTTCTTGTCCCATTGTAGGGATCTAGCGTTGAAGTCACCTAGCAGTAACACTGGTCTTCCAATGTTGGGATCTAGTAATGAGGCTACCGAACTGAGGAAAGCCCTAAAATTTACATTTTTTCTCGGCGAGCAATAGCGTCCCACAATTAGATAGCCGCCCTAGTCTACGGCTATCCAGTCCATTGTTCGTTCAATTAGATTGCGAAGGGTACGGTTTTCCCCACATCCACCCCCCCCCCCAGGTGATTGCCACCTTGGAGGAGTTCCCAGTTGAACCCCACCACCTGGAATTTTCTGGTACGTAGTAGGGCTCCGTCACAATGACGAGGCTCGTTCTCCACTCAGTCACGTGAATGAGTAGATCCTGAGCCCCGCCAGAGTGATTAACGTTAGCTAAAATAATTGAGAGGGCCATTAGTGTATATTAGTATCCTCTATCTCCATACTTGTTACCTTTCTCATTGTTGAGACCGGCATAGAAGTATTACTTGACCTGCCCTTAACGGGGGGGCTGGGCGGGCATTCAGGACTGCTCGCTCTATGATCCTTTAAGCCTCTGTCCTTACAAATTGGGCAGCATGCTTTCCTAGTACATGTTTCTACTTTGTGGTCGGTTTCTCCACAGTTGTAACAGTGCGAAGACAGATCCACGTTGTCTGGGGGGCATCTGTTACGGGTATGTCCTTTAGCTAAACATTTGTAGCATTGTATTAGTCTTATTTGTAGTATCTCTACTCGAGCCATTGTCCAACCTATTCGTATTTTTCCTCCTTCTGCAGCTTTAACAGCTGCCAGCGCTGGAACTTGAAGCCAAATCGCACCCATGCCTTATTTGTATCGTCTAATGTGGCCGTGGCGTATGTCATCTACATGTCATTCGCCTTGTTTCGCAACTATTTGAATCACTTCCTCTGGCGCTGTGGCATCATCAAGGCCAGAGAGTCTCAAATCTATCTTTTGCGTGGGCGTCCAATTTTGACCTCCGTCCCCTTAAACACCTTCCGTAATTTGTTCGCAAGAGTGTCTGCTTTGTCATTCGCCTTTTCACCCGGAATTTGGATTATAATTCCTCTCGTAAATGCGGGTTTTATCGTCGTAATTTCAATGCCCAGCTCATTAAGATTAATGGCTGATTTTGCCTTTTGCATTGTCTCAGTATACTTGTCGCCGTCTAAGCAAGTGATAGACACAACAGCAGAGCGTGACAATTTTTAGCTTTTAAAGGGTTATTCTTTATCCCCTCTTTCCTTTCTCTTTCTTTGTTGTGATTCACAGGAGGAGCATTGAAAGTGTTCATTTTTTCTCCTTTTGTTTTCTTCTTGGCTTTTCTGCCAATTACTTCGATCCACAATAGTTCTGATTGTTGGGTCGGTTTACTTTCTATTTTTCTTTTTCTAATTTTCTTTTTTGTTTCAGATGCAGCAGCA